TCTTCTACGACAAATATTTTCCCCAATGTTTCAGGGATCGAAAGGTGTCCGAATTCCAGGAACTTAAACAGTGAAGAATGTCAGTGGCAAAATATGAAGCTAAGTTCACCGAGTTAGCACGATTTGCTCCACATATGGTGGACACAGATTACAAGAAAGCCCGAAAGTTTGAAGGAGGATTGGATCTCGATGTGTTTGATCAAGTAGGCGTCCTGAAATTGCCTACTTATGTAGAAGTCCTAAACAGAGCCTTAATGGCAGAGGCTACCCTAACTGTCATGAGACAAAGCAAAGCCCCATCACCTACAGCGAATGAGTGGAGAGGAAAAAGATCCAGGTTTGGTTTTAAGAAAGGCCGGCCCTTTAGTAATAAGAAGCAAAACACAGGGACTTGGAACAACTCGAGTCAAAGTAGTAGGTCTCTTCCGGTCTGTCCTGATTGTGGTAAAAGGCACAGGGATATGTGCTACCGAGCGTCCGGTGCTTGTTTCTGATGTGGCCAGCCAGGTCATGTAATAAGAGATTGTCCGCTTAGATCTGAGACTACTAGCCATCCTGCAGTAAGTTCAGCGGGATCCGCTTCTGTGACCAAAACCAATGTCAAAGCCAATACAGGGAAGGAACCTTTGAGACAAGGCCGCGTGTTTGCCTTAGTGCCCGGTGACGTACCAAACACTTATATTGTGGTGTTAGGTACACTTTTTTTATGTTCTCAAAATGCATGTGTATTGATAGATTCTGGTTCTACACATTCTTTTGTGTCGCATGCTTTTTCTCGAAAATTGACTAGGCCATTAGAACTTATGACATGTGTTATCTGTGTCTACGCCATCTGGGGATTCTATGATGTGTGCTCATGTATATCCAGCATATGATGTTAGGGTTGGTGATATGATGTTGTATGTGGACTTATTACCTTTGGACATTCATCATTTTGATTGTATTTTGGGGATGGATTGGTTAACTAAATATTGTGCTACCATTAACTGTGCAAACAAAACTGTTGTGTTTAGACCGCCCGGTATGCCTGAATTTACTTTTAGTGGGAATGGGGTAGTTCCTCCCCCATACTTAATCTCGGCTATGAAAGCTGCAAAACTGCTTAGGAAGGGATGTAGGGGTTATCTGTGTTGCATATTGACCAAATCATCTGCCAGTACTACTGTAGAAACGACCTCTATTGTTTGTGACTTTCCTGATGCGTTTCCGACTGATTTACCGAGGGAATTAGTTGACAGAGAAATTGAATTTAATGTTGAGATGTTTCCGGGGACACAACCTATTTTTAAGACTCCCTATAGAATGTCTATCTCCGAATTGAAAGAACTGAAAACCCAACTTCAGGAACTGTTAGACAAGAATTTTATCCGTCCGAGCACGTCACCTTGGGGTGCTCCAGTCTTGTTTGTCAAAAAGAAGGATGGATCTTTGAGATTGTGTATAGATTATCGGGAACTGAATAAAGTGACTATCAGGAACAAATACGCTCTGCCCCGAATAGATGACTTGTTTGATCAACTTCAGGGTGCCCAAGTGTTTTCTAAAATTGACCTCAGGTCTGGGTATCATCAATTAAAAGTTAGAGTCGAGGACATAGAGAAAACTGCATTCCGAACTAGATATGGACATTATGAATTCTTAGTAATGCCGTTTGGGATGACCAATGCACTTGCTGTTTTCATGGATATTATGAATAGGGTGTTTAAATCATATCTGGATGACTTTATTGTTGTATTTATTGATGATATTATGATATATTCTAAAGACAAGAAGGAACATGAGAATCATCTGAGAACCGCCTTGCAAATTTTGAGAGAAAAGAAATTGTATGCTAAATTGTCCAAGTGTGAATTCTGGCTTGACAGTATGGCATTTTTGGGTCATGTTATCAACAAGGATGGTGTTTCTGTGGACCCTCAGAAGATTGAAGCTATTGTGGATTGGCCTAGACCTACGAATGTGACAGAAGTTCGAAGTTTTCTGGGACTTGCAGGTTACTGCCGGAGATTTGTGAAAGACTTTTCCAAGCTTGCCTTACCATTGACTCAATTAACTCAGAAAAACATGCCATTTGACTGGAATGACCAAAGAGAGGCAGCTTTCCAAGAGTTGAAAACCAGGTTAGTGACTGCATCAATCTTAACTTTGCCAAATGGTACTGATGGGTTTCAAGTGTACAGTGATGCTTCTTATAAAGGCTTGGGGTGTGTACTAATGCAAAATGGAAGGGTGATTGCCTATGCTTCTAGACAACTTCGACCTCATGAAAAGAATTACCCAACACATGATCTTGAATTGGCAGCCGTGGTGTTTGCTTTGAAGATATGGCGTCACTATTTGTATGGGGTAACTTGTGAGATTTATACAGACCATAAAAGTTTGAAATATTTCTTCACCCAAAAGGAGTTGAATATGAGACAGAGACGTTGGTTGGAACTAATCAAAGATTATGACTTGCAAATCTTGTATCATCCAGGAAAGGCTAATACTGTGGCAGATGCCTTGAGCCGAAAATCTAGTGCAACTGTGTCGTGTTTGTTATCTAGCCAAAAAGAATTGTTGACTGACCTAGAACAAGATGGACTGTATTCTGCTATTTCTGCTTAACCTGCTATTCTTGATGAGATCAAACAAAAACAATGTGAAGATGAATATTTGAAAAAGATTATAGAGGAGTTTGATTCGAAACCGAGGCCAGGATTTGTGTTTGAAAATGATGTGCTGAAATTTCAAAATCGTCTTTATGTGCCCGATTGTTATGATTTGAGAAAACGTGTTATGACCGAAGCTCACAGTAGTAAATTTGCTATGCATCCGGGGAACACGAAGATGTATCATAATTTGAAACAGAATTTTTGGTGGCCTGGAATGAAAAAGAGTATTGCAGACTTTGTGGCTAGATGTCTACAATGTCAACAGGTAAAAGAGAGAGAGATCCCCTTACTTTTTGGGGAAAAAATTTTTTTTTTTTTTTTTTTTTGGGGGTTTGATGGGCTTAGAAACATCTCATTGGCAGCAGGTATGAGCGTAAGGTTGAGGTAGTTTTGCTGGTGATTTTTGCTAGTTGGTTCTGTGATGTTGGTTTCTGTTATTGTTGCTACTGAGATGCTGAAATGCTCTTTGTTGTCCAACTTACAACAGATCAGGTATTCATTAATGGTTTTGTCACAAGTGTAATTTTGGGCAGCTGGGTTTGGTCACAAAGTGTAATTTTGTTTGCTCATCTGATAGAGGGGGCAGTTGCAGTTCATTGGTTTGTTTCTGCAGGAATTTGCTGGTGCATTAGCTATGAGTTGCTGGAGCAGATTGCCGTATGGTTGGTTGTTTTATTTTTGTGTTGGTTTTATTTCTCTTTTTTGGATTGTTTCTCGCCAATTTGTGGGTTGTGTGCTAGTAGATAATTGGCTGCCTCTTTGATGTCCAACTTAGTTAGATTGTGGAGTGTTAAGCTATGATGTTTTTTGCACCTCCCTCATTTTTGAATGTATTTTGTTCTTGTTTTGCTCATTCCATCAATCAAGTTTTCCTTTTCTTTGCTCATAAATAATAAATAAATAAAAAATAAATCACTAATGCTAATGAGTGGCAACATATATCATTAAAAAATATATATGGAAAAAAAAGTAATAGTAAATATTTTTGAAGTCAATTTGAATTTGAATTTTTTTATTTTAAATTAAATAAAAAAAAAATGTTGATTTGATTTTTTGACAACCATTTGATTTTTATAATGGACAATCTCTATTTTATTCATGTGATGAGATGATTCTGAATCTGAAGAGAGAGTGTAAAATTGAAAAAAATCTAAATGTACAAAAATTTAACTTGGGTTGGATGGACTCAAGTCAGTCTAAAAAAAAAAATTAACACTAAGATAATAAATTTCAAATTTGATTAAGATTTGACTAAAATCTGTTGATTCAAATTAAGGGGGTGTTAGAATGATCTAAAATAAGTGTACTTTTTGACCTTTTATTGAAATATGAGTTGGGTTTAAGTGATATGGGTTAGGTTTGAAGTGGTATGATATAAAAATGATGTGACTTTAAATAAGATGATGTGATTTAAATAAGATAATAATTTTTTGACTTTTTTTAAGTTACAAACAAATAAGCCTAATTTGGTTAGGTCCATGTATTACTCTCACAACCACGGATATTATATCCTTATAATGGTAAGATAAAATGGGTGAGAGG